AAATTCATGTTTTCCATTACTGTTTTGAAATGCCACCTTTGTATATTGTATTTCCATGTATATTTAAACTTACTCTTTCTGTTGTCTTCTACTAGTCTGTGTGTCTTTATGCCCAATACAATACTCTTTAAATTAGAGACCAGGAGAGTGTCAATGTGTTCCTCATGGAGGATTTGCACATTTCTTGATAAATTTATGCCTAGATCTTTCATCTTTCCTCTTCGTATAAATGAGGTTTACTCTTTGATTCTCTCTTCTGATTGTTACTTAAATATATTGAAGACTATTGAGTTCCATATGTTAATTGATTAATTCTGTTATAGTCTGTAGGAGGTTCTTTTTGCTTTTTGAAAAGCAAGCTATCTATCTCTTTTTCTAACTCTTAGAACTCTCGTTTTCTCTTTGATTGTATGGCTGCTGTCTTAACTAAAATGTTAAATAGAATAGAAATAGTGGGTATCCTTGTCTTGGTCCTGATTTTCATGAGACTGCCTCTGGTTTTGCCCCAGTAAGGAAGATGATGGTTCACACTCAAGTATAATGTATCAGCTATTATTTGAGTGCTTTTTTAAAAATCATAAATGTATATTAAATTTTGTCAAATGACTTTTGACATCGATAGAGATTTTATGAATTAGGGTCTAGTCAGGAGACAGAAATTGCAGTTACTGTTAGCTGTGTGCTAGAGAACTGAAAAAAGGCAAAAGGGACCATTTTTCACAGAGGAAGCAGCTCCAGGAAGCATCTATCACCTGTGCAGCTGAGGGACGGGGCGGGGGGCGGGGGGAGCTACTGAAAGGTTTGGAGGAAGAGTCCCAGGACCCTAGGGACTGTGCAACTGGTTGTTGCTGGTTTCCCAGAAGAGATCTGAGGACACTGGTCTGATGGTGTGGAGCCAACTCTCGGTTCAGGGCTGAACCATGCCTGTTGTGATACTGACGAGAGAAGAGCAGCAGTCTCTCTTGCCTCCTCCTTCCTTTCCTGTTGCTTCCAACACCCACTGTCGGTGGACACTAAGAAGGAGCCTGGCAGAGGAGGAGGAGGGTACGCAAAGTCCTGGCCTAAACACAGCGAACTGGACAAATGTGGATTTGAAGCTGAGACACAGCTTACTACCAGCAGCACAGAAATGATGATTGTTTTCCTTAAATATATTAATGTGATGAACCACATTCGTAGAATAAACCCCGCTTTGTAATGCATGCCAGCTTTGCCTGATATCTGTATATCTGTATGTGACTCTGAAAATCACGTTTTTCTAGCTGAGTTATTTTTTAAACTCATGCCAACAGGGGGCACCAGAAGGAGATAGAAAATCAGAAGGGAAAGGGATGGAATTGCTTATGCCTGTTGCAGGCTTTTCCTGTTAGTATCATCTTGGTAGTGGCACTTCACCTGGTGGCCAGCACTCCCAAAACCTCCTCATTATGCTCCCTGGGAGCTGCCACCACTAGCTGGACTGTGCGCCTTCCTCAGAGGCCTCAGGCCTACTGGTCAGGCTCCGGAGGTAACAGCACCATCCTTGCTGCCCCCCATCTGAATTTCAGCTCCCAGCTGCTGAGGTATAACCATAGCGAAGCACTGCCCTCCCTCAGAGGTCTCCAAGTTTCTAGGTTCTGACAGTTGGGAATGCTCCTTTGTAACCCAAGTTGATTCTTAAACATAGCTGGAAGAATGCAAAATAATACTAGCCTTATGGAAAAGCTTTTTGACAATATCCAACAAAATAGCATGCATTTATTGTTCAATCCTGCAGTCCCATTTTTAGAAAATTATGCCAAAAATTCCCTTACAAAAAAAAAAAATAGAAAAATTTGGCCAGGGCACAGTTTGTAGCAACAACAGTGAACAAACAAAGGAATAAGTTAAGCAATCATCAGTAGGGTACAGTTAATTTGAAAGCAATCTGAATGAAAATTTTCTATCAAGTTGGTGACAGGAAGAACAGATACATAATGTGAAAAAAAGTAGCTTGAATAGACAGCTTTAGTAGGGTAGACCATAGGGATAAAAAAAGACCTGTAAAATCTTAAGCTTTCACACACTCATCATTTTGCTTTTGTGATATTGATGTGGTTATTTTGAAGTAGATCTCTGGACAGGATAATTACTGTTAAGATTTAGAACCAAGACTGTTGGCACATAAGAAAATTGTAAAGCCAAGAAGATGAAAACAACCTCTGCGATCTTACATTTTAATAAGCACTATCAGTGTGAACTTGCATTTTCACCTCTCTATAACATTTTGTACTTTTTAGCTCCATCCACTGAAAATGTCTAGAAACAATGACAACTCATTAACAGTGAGAATCTCTGGTATCCAGATTCTGGTTTCTAAATGCAGTTACCCATTTAAAAGAACCACCGCTCTTTGGAGAAATAGCTGATTCCAAGTGTAGGACAGGAAACAGACAAGAGAGGCCTGGTAGGTTTTATTATGCGGGAAAGTGAGGAAATTATTAAAAACTAATGTAATAATACAAAAGGAAGTATTCCAACTTGAAACTGTTTCCATGGGCCCAACACTGGACAAACAGCATTATTAAGAATGATAACCGTTGTTGATTAGAACGCAATAACTACAGAAAATAGTCATAGGTTCCTAAAGATTTTTTTAAAGGAAAGAAAGAAATAAGCAAAAACATACTGGATACTACTGGAGGTTATTAGGATGCTAACTCAAAATGCTGAAAATGTTTCAATTAAGGGAAAGTAATACAAGCCCTGCTTTTCTGTTGCAAATTTAGTTTGTGCATAGTTAATAGCTGTAGTGAAAGATGGATAGTTCCATTTAAAAGAATCCCAGTGATGAATGCAAAAAGAATGCTACAATTAGAAAAATTGCAACTCCCTAATATAATAATTGCTCAGGCAAAGCCCAAAAGTGGATGTGAAGCCACCAGGTGAGATGTTGATGGATAAAGTCATTAAGGGATAACACCCACTGATCAATCATTAAGAAAGAAACAATCAAACATCATATGCTTCCTGATGTGCAGCAATATACTCCAAAATTGAACCTGATTTTTTTCAACATTTTAGATAATAATGTCCAGTATACAGGGAAATAAGTGGATGAGAGAACAAATTACACCAGGGAGAAGCAATTAACCAGGTTCAAAATGAGACTTTTTTTTTTTTTTAATATTTTACTTATTTATTTGAAAGAGTTACACAGAGAGAGGAGAGGCAGAGAGAGAGGTCTTCCATCCGCTGGTTCACTCCCCAGATGGCTGCATCCACCAGACCTGTGCTGATCTGAAGCCAGGAGCCAAGAGCTTCTTCCAAGTCTCACACATGGGTGCAGGGGCCCAAGGACTTGGGCCATATTCTACTGCTTTCCCAGGCCATAGCAGAGAGCTGGATTGGAAGTGGAGAAGCCAGGTCTCAAACTGGCACCCATATGGGATGCAGGCGCTTCAGGCCAGGGCATTAACCTGCTGCATCAGAGCGCCAGCCCCCAAAATGTGACCATTTTAAAAAAAGGTTTGTTTTATTTGAATCGCAATTACACAGAGGAAGAGAGAGAGACATTTTCAACTGCTGCTTCACCCTCCATATGGCCTCAATAGCCAGGCTGGGCAGAGCCAAAGCCAGGAGCCAGGAGCTTCATCTGGGACCCCAATATGGGTTCAGGGTCCCAAGAACTTGGGCCATCTTCCGCTGCTTTTCCCAGGTCAGTAGCAGGGAGCTGGATTGGAAGTGGAGCAGCCGGGACACGAACCGGCATCACAGATGGCAGCTTTACCTGTTATGCCACAGTGCTGGCCCTGAAAATGTGACTTCTTTCTATAGAACAACTGACTTGATTTCTTCTTGGACACGTTCACAGTACTGGAAAGGGGAAGTAGGTGAGGAGATTGTTCTGGCTGTAAAGAGACCACAAGCATAAACCTTGACTAGCCCTTGTTTGAGTCAAACAGATAAAAACCAAGTGTAAAACATGACACCGTTAGACACTTGGAAGTGCCATGGAGTCTGAGAGAAATGTGTGTATATTAAAGTATTTAGGAATAAAATGTGTCTGGGTTTGGTTTTAAAACACTCCAAAAGAAATAAGGGAGTATGGCAACATGCTGACCATCATTACGTCTCAGCCAGGAGTTTGGGTTATCATTATCATTACCATTATTATTACGTTTTCTCTTAAGGAGAACTTTTGGAAATTGTCTATGAAAATGAAATGACACGGAAAAATGTTCTAAATGTGCTATGTGAAAAGGAACCCAGAAAATAACTAGTTTGAGTTCATTTGAGTTAAAGGTTTTAAAATTTTATTTATTTTAAAGATTTTTTTTTAATTTTATTTTATTTTTATTTTTATTTTTTGGACAGGTAGAGTGGACAGTGAGAGAGAGAGAGAGAGACAGAGAGAAAGGTCTTCCTTTGCCGTTGGTTCACCCTCCAATGGCCGCTGCGGCCGGCGCGCTGCGGCCGGTGCATCGCGCTGATCCGAAGCCAGGAACCAGGTGCTTTTCCTGGTCTCCCATGTGGGTGCAGGGCCCAAGCACTTGAGCCATCCTCCACTGCACTCCCGGGCCATAGCAGAGAGCTGGCCTGGAAGAGGGGCAACCGGGACAGAATCCGGCGCCCTGACCGGGACTAGAACCCGGTGTGCCGGCGCCACTAGGCGGAAGATTAGCCTATTGAGCCACGGCGCCGGCCATTATTTATTTATTTGAAAGTCAGAGTTACAGAGAGAGAGGAGAGGTAGAGAGAGAGAGAGAGAGAGAGAGAGAGAGAGAGAATCTTCCACCCAATGGCTCACTCCCCAATTGGCCGGAGCTGCGCCAAGCACCTGGGTCTGGAACTGGCGCCCATGAGGGATGCCGGTGCTTCAGGCCAGGGCGTTAACCCACTGCATCACAGCGCCGGCCCCTACTCCAAATTTTAAAAACGGAAAGATACTACCAAAAAGTTGGCAGTGATAAATTCTAAGTTGTGGACTTACAGGTGATTTGTATTTTTATGCTTTTCAGAATTTCCCAAAATGCTTTACATCACTCTTTGAAAATATTTTATTTATTTATTTATTTAAAGGCAGAGTTACAGAGGGGGGGGGAGAGACAGGGATCTTCCATCTGTTGGTTCACTCCCCAGATGGCCACAACAGCTAGGCCAAGCATAAGCCCGGTCTCCCACGTGGGTGCAGGGGCCCAAGGACTTGGGCCATCTTCTGCTGCTTTCCCAGACCATAGCAGAGAGCTGGATCAGAAGTGGAGCAGCTGGAACTCGAACTGGCGCCCATAGGGAATGCCTGCGACTCAGGACGCAGCTTTACGGGCTATGCCACAGACCCTACATCTCAATATTTACCAGATAAACTTTGTGGTTAATTAGTCATTATCCCATAACTGAATAGCTGTAAGTACTGATAACATCTTTAAAAAATAAAAAGCGATATCACTATGTCAAAATAGCCCCTGATTTTAAAAAACAAGCTTTAAGGATTATTGCTCAACCTGTAAGGCGAAGCCATTGAACCATCCGTCCTGCAAAGCTGGAACAAATGATTGCGTGCAATGAAGCATGCAAGCCCACAGCAGGCACAATGCGGAGGGAGGGACAAATCCCGTCTAAACGAGGTCATAAAACACGAGGGCCACAGCGAGGTCTGGCACGCGAGGTCTGGCACGAGGCCACAGGGCGCGGTGCTGCCTCTGAGCACCGCCCGCCGGGAGGTGACCGGGTCAGGGCCAGGTTCGCCCAACGCCCGCAGCCCCCGGGAGCGCCGCGCTGACGTCGGCGCCGCACGGTTTTATCCCGGCGTCTCCCTCGCCGCCCACTCGCCACGCCGAACCTCGGTGCGGACGCTCGCTGTCCGCTGGACTGCTCCTCGGAACCGCGGTCCCCGCTCTCCGCCGTGCGCCCCGCGCAGCCGTCAGTCACCATGGAGCCGGCGCCCGAGCTGCTCTTCTACGTGAACGGCCGCAAGGTGAGCGCGCCCGCGGGGCTGCCCGCCGCGTGGGCCCGCCGTCGGCCCCTGCCGTTGGCCCCTCGAGAGCTTTCGGTCCGTGAGCGTGGGGCGCTAGAGCGCGCGCCAGGCTTCCGTGATGGACAGGACTTTGCCTGCGCCTCCGGGACTGCCCCGGGGTCTTAGGGCCGCCACCTTCCAGATGTTCCCTTTTCCTCTTCTTCCACGACGCACTGGCTGCCTTGCAACGCCACCCTGTCCCTAAACAAGAAAAAACCCCCCAAAAGCCATTTTATCCCTTTTTAAGGCCGGCTGTCCCGAGCCCGCCGTCTCAGAGAACCCCAGCGGATGTCAGGAACGCCCTCCTGCAACAACACCCCGACAGCGACCTGGGTGGATGGAGGGCTGCGTAGCCCCGGGATGTGACCAGAGGCAGCTGTGCCAGCCGCTCCCACGAACAAATTGCAACTTTCCAAAGTCACAGCTTGCTGCTAGCAGAGCTTACCACAGCCAGGCCCTGGGGCGGACCCCTGGCTCTATAGAACCCCCCTCCTCCGGGAGGGGGGCGGCTGCAGGCAGGGCCCTGTGTTCCAGGGGTCCGCGAGGCGCCAGGCTCATCCTTTAAACCCCCGACCCACGGACAGCACGTGGATGGGGGACGCCGCGGCAGGAAGGCTCCGGGGCTTCCTCAGGAACTCGCTACCCAGCAAGGGTGGAGATACCCGTTATCTCCCTGCCCGGCGCTGGTGCCTTCAGAGCCCCCCGCGACCCCCGCTTCTGGCTAAGTTCTGCCTGGTGCCTGCTTGACCCCCGAGGAAGCTAACGCAGGCTTAGGCATCTTGTGAGACCTGCTCTAAGGCTCCCAGACCAATCTCACGCTCGCTCGCTCGTGGTTTTCTGTTATTTTCCTTAAAGAGGCCCTTCCTCCCCGCCCCCACCCCCACCATGGTACATTTCCCCGCCTCACAAAAACTTCCGGTTCCCCTGCTGCCCGGATTCTGCCCTGGGTAACAGGAGCTCATTTTTCCTGCTTTTTGTGATGGGGCCAGGAAGAGCCCCACCCAGGACAGCTGTGAGGGTGGAATAGGAGCGCGAGGTGAAGTGAATAATATTATAGCATTGTTTTCTTAAGTATGACAAAACAGTAAACACAACACTATTTTTTTTACTTTTGGTTAAAAGATTCCGTTCCAGCCGGAACTCTCATTGCAAAAAGCTTTCAGCGACTTGGTTCCTCTTTAAAGGAGAGGCTACCGCTCACTTCATCAACAGTGGCCATGAGTTTTCAGGCTGTTTGTCAGGGTCCACGCCATGCCACACAGTGGTCAGACTAAGGGGATACAGCAGACCCCAGAAGTGACAGAGTTGCTGCTGGCACAGGACATGGGCAGGTGTATAGGTGCATGGACATGTGTGATGGCGGACAGTGATAAGGGCTAGGATAATGAGAACAAAGCCAGGGCACAGGGCTGTGCCAGAGCTGAGCCTGGAGATGTTGGTCTCGGAGAGGGTGACACCTGGGCAGTGACGAGGGTGAAACAGGAGCCAGCCAGGCAAGGTGCTGGGGCGAGAGCATTCCCAGCAGAGGGAATGGCAAATACAGAAGTCCTGAGGCAGAAGGATTTCTGTGTGCTTACGGGATAGGCTGGTGGGGTGGAGACATGGGCAGAGGCCACATTACTAGAGCTTGTAGCTTCTGGTGTTTTGTTTGATGAGGAAACTGGTGGTTTGAGTTTAATGACTCCCCCCCCCCCCCCCCCCCCCCGCTTCCAAACTGTTCTGGGATTTTAAACATAATAGCTAACATCAGTTTTGTGCTCTATTGATTTGTAAGAATAGATAACCTGGTTCTTATCTATGGGCCAAACGTGTGATCTAGAGGTATTGATTCAGTTTTTGCAATTGCTTCATTAAAGAAGTCAGGTCATCCCTTCTCTTCCCAATTCTCTGCGAGACACGTGCTTTAACACCAGCAGGCCTGATTGCTGCACAGATCGAAGTAGAATAAAGCCCGTGGTTCAGAGGGTGAGGGGCTGTTGGGAAAAGTACAAGACAGAAAACCACTAGAGAAGAGGGGGTCTTTTAAAATTACTTATTTATTTGAAAGTCAGAATTACAAGAGAGAGGATGAGAGGGGAAGAGAGAGAGAGAGATACCTTCCATCTGCTGGTTAACTCCCCAGATGGCTGCAATGGCCAGTGCTGGGCCAGGCCTAAGCCAAGTTTCATCTGGGTCTCCCATATGGTGGCAAGGGCTCAAGCACTTGGACAGTCCTCCACTGCTTTCCCAGGCCAGTAAGCAGAGAGCTGGATCAGAAGTGGAGTAAGAACGCAAACCGATGCTTGTATTGTATGCTGGTGCCACAGGCCACAAGTTTACCTGCTACGCCACAGCGCTGGCCCCAGAAAAGGGGTGTTGAAGTGAAAGTGACCTCTGGGGTTAAAAACTTGCATGGGATCCTAAAAGGCAAGTAGGAGATTCTGGACGGCATGATTGGCGTCTGGTCTATGCTCTTTGTAAAATCTCTGCAGACCATCCAAAGCTATCATCAGGCGGCAGCTAAGAGCGTCCTGAGGCAAGGCTGGTGCGTGTTCACTGGGGACCTAGTTGCTGAGAGACACAGTGTCTTCCAGGGGCCCCCCCACTTCACACGGAGTCTAAGGGAGGGAGAGCCCATGAGCCCTTTATACCATAGATGCCACTCTCCCCTCAGGAACTAAAGCATGCCATTCCATGAGGCAGTGAAGTCTACAAACAAAAGCTTTGGGCTTTGGAACTAGTGTGGCGTGAGTTTGAATCCTGCACTATCTGCCTTGCCACTTGGCATCCCCGGGGTCTCAGGCCAGGTGCCTAGTATCTCTGAGCCTCAGTGTTTCACCTCTGCACAAAGGAGCTGATACCCTGGTGCCATGGTATTGGGGTGAAGGTTAAATTCCGTGGGCAGTGTCTTTCATGGTGCCTGCTCCCAGGAAGCACCCATGTTTTCTAATCTGGATTAGAAAACAGTCGAACCAGAAGCTGCCTAGAGGAATCCAGAGGTCTGAGAAGTAGTCACCTAGCACTATTTGCTCAACAAATGTTGAGTCTTGGTACTCGGGATGGAAAGAGCTGTCTGTTGTCTGGTGTTTCCTGGGGTCCTTGGTTTCCTAGGCAAAGAGGAAATTTCTGGGCTTGTTGGGATGGCTGCAATGATTTGGAGGAAAGTAGAGTTGGTAGAGGCAGCTTAAGCAGGAAGGACCAACAGCAAAATGAATTTGAGAGCAAGCTTGAAGCTCGGGGAGCGGTCCTCCCTGGTGGTCGCCACAGCTGCTGTGGGTCCTTGTTCTTGTGCACTAACTGAGCCCCACAGTATGTGCTTCTCTCTCCCGTTGTCCTTGCAGCTGTGTCATTTCGCATGCACTCCTCTCCCTTATTTCCGCTATCCCCCCACTTTTCTCTTCCCTGTCTCCTTTTTCTGACTCCTTTCTGCTCCCGGCTTGCCTCTGGCAAGGCTCCCTCAAGCTTGACTCAGCAAAACACAGAGGAAAGTGATTTCCTAACCTTTCGCAATGTGAATTTGGACTTTCCCCAAGGGACTGAGGGAGATACAGCGGGACGGGTTCCACCCTTGTGATACCCAAGGCCGTGCTGAGATAACACGCGGTGACCGTGACCCTGCTTCTGGACAAGGGCAGCCAAGTCCTCCTGGCATCATCTTCCCAATCCAAAGCCAATGAAAATAACTGTTCCCCATCCCCTTCGCGTCCCACCCGCAGCTGCCATCTTAATTCTAACCTCCCTGTTTCACCCCAGGAGCTGCCAGGACAGGACGCTTGCTAGATCCCTGCTCCTACTCCCCTCCTCCAACTGTGGCAGCCATCAGATCAAGAGAAAGAAGTGTGTTCCAATCTAGGAGCTCTTTGAGCCAGACTCTAATCTCCTGACACGTTTCCTGGAGAAAGTTCCCAAACAAACAATGCTTGCTTCTTCCGTCATTTCCTTCTCCAAATATACAAATATCTTTCAAGCCTAAAATGTTATTCTTCACCTTGTGGGCCACTGAGATCCTGTCTCACCACTTGCCATCACATGTATGAATTAGGATTGGTTCCAACTGCACCAGCATAAACTTTCACAGTGGTTCAAACAAGACCCACGTCATTTTTCTTTTTTCTGCAAGGATATCTGGGAGTAGAGGCCATAAGGCTTGTCCAGAAGAAGCTCCATGGTATCACCTGGGACCCACGTTTCTCCTTCTACTCCCTCTGCCACCATGAATGTGTGGCCTGCTGCCTAAGATGGCTGCTGGAGTTCTAGAATATTCCTCCCAATTCTAGGCCGCAGGAAAGAGAATCTGTGCTGGTGTAGACAGCCACAGTTCCTGCCATCAGGGACTTGTCTGGTGTCCTTCTTTTGGGTACTGTCATATGTGAGAAATGATTCCTCCCTCCTTGCTGTTCGCACAGCAACCTGTCCACGTTACGTTCGGGTTGTGCATTTCCTGGGTCCCTCTGATAACTCCCCAGCACCGGTCTCTGTGTTTGTCAGGAAGTAGAATAACAGAAGGTGATTTTTCTCCAGACCAGGAGAGGCTTGTTTATACACAAATGATGATGATCCCTGGTAAAAGGTGCCACAAAAGAGCTGAGACTGTCGGCTGAGGGAGCACAGAGGAAGATGGCTACTGGGAGCAGGCAGTGGGGATGGAGGTATTGGTGGTAGAGCCCTCGGCAGAGAACACCTGAGCTGCATATTGCACAGCAGGCAAACTACTGAGAAAGGAGAGGAGCGGCACGGTCAGTACTGAAGGAACCTGTGTGCAGGGTAGTGAGGAGGGAAGGGCCAGGCACTTCCAGTCGCACTATTGTAGAAAGTGTGCTTGCTTTAAATGGGTGCTGTTTGCTGAAGACTGCTGAATCATGCTGATTGTTCTCCAGTAACACCTGGAAAGCAAGGGGCAGGTGCAGCCCCCACCACCCAGTCCATGCACTGCTGTCAGCTGAGGGCTGCCACTCACCTTAGGCACTCAGGGTCCCATCACTCTGGGCTGCTGCACTTAATCTGACTGTTTGTGCTCAACGTTGGTGTACTCATAAAGCTTTATTAAGCAAGTCCGTCAACTTTTAAGAGACTGAAAATTTAAAAAAAAAGAAATCTTTGCCAGATCCTTAAAAAAAGGGGGCAGTCACTTTTGGGAAAGACCAGTTCTTCCTTGTGACCTAAGCTCAGGATACACGGGTACAGTGGGAAGCAGTGATGGGGCAGACTTGCCAATGAGTTTGAATTTCTTCTTGAACTCCAGGAACTCTTGAATTTAATTTCTTTTATTTTTTTATTTTTTATTTGACAGGTAGAGTTAGAGAGAGAGAGAGACAGAGAGAAAGGTCTTCCTTCCATTGGTTCACTCCCCAAATGGCTGCCATGGCTGGCGCTGCGCCGATCCAAAGCCAGGAGTCAGTTGCTTCTTCCTGGTCTCCCATGCCGGTGCAGAGCCCAAGCACTTGGGCCATCCTCCACAGCTTACTAGGCTAATCCTTCCCGGGCCACAGCAGAGAGCTGGACTGGAAGAGGAGCAACCGGGACTAGAACCCGGTGCCCATATGGGATGCCATCGCCACAGGCGGAGGATTAACCAAGTTAGCCATGGCGCTGGCCTTTCGAATTTAATTTCATCTAAGACCCATTTGGTAGGCTCAGTGAAGATGCTCATTTTCTGCTTCTCTCTCCCAGAAATTCTGCTCTCAGAGGAGTTTCATTTTAACCAGCTCCTGGGTGATGGAGAGCTTCCCAGCATGGCCATTGGCAGACGGAAGCCGCGTTGGGGTTAGGCTGATCTGTGAGACAGTCAGACTTGGAGTTTAGAGCAGTCTCCCCTATAGCAGTGCAGAGGGCAATGTTGCAGATGCCAGGAGCAGAGGCAGGAAGGCCTGTCAGACAGCTGTTAGAATTGCTCAGGCAAG